CTTGCGTTGTGGCCGAAACGTCGTGAGAATTATTTTATTATGTTTTATTTTTATTATTTTATTATTTCCGAAAGAACCAAGAAGAAGACGCACACATATTTAACTGGATTCGGTGTTCGTGCACAGAAGCCGAGCGCGGTGTCTATTTAACTTGTGGATTTCCAGCCTAAACTGCGTTTCTGTGATGATCGGGAGGTATTTGACATTTAAGGATGTGATTTGGGCTAGAGTGAAGACCTGGGACTGGAGTGGAGACCTGGGACTGGAGTGGAGACCTGGGACTGGAGTGGAGACCTGGGGCTGGAGTGGAGACCTGGAACTGGAGTGAAGACCTGGAACTGGAGTGGAGACCTGGACCTGGAGTGGAGACCTGTCCCTCTGGAATGTGGCTCCGATCTCGTGAGGGCTCCGGGTTTTGGGCTGCACGAGGGGTCGTGTGAAACTTCCCCGCGTGTTGATCTCCCACCGCCACTTTCATTGACGCAGCCGAGTTCCCGATTAGACTTTCGGTTTCTCGCACCACTTCCCAAAACGGCGCGGCCCCCACCGCCCACCCTCATTCCGTTCCGTTATCGCGAACACGAGGGTTGGTTTCTAGGCTTGCGGTGGCTAGGAGATGTTGACTACCTCGCCTGGTACGCAGGAGGTCGTGGGTTAGATCCCGACCCTGACAATGGAGGTTGCGTGTCTCTCTCTCTCATCATCATCACGGTGGCTAGGAGATGTTGACTACCTCGCCTGGTACGCAGGAGGTCGTGGGTTCGATCCCGACCCTGACAATGTAGTTTGCGTGTCTCTCGCTCTCATCATCATCACGGTGGCTAGGAGATGTTGACTACCTCGGCTGGTACGCAGGAGGTCGTGGGTTAGATCACGACCCTGACAATGGAGTTTGCGTGGCTCTCTCTCTCATCATCATCACGGTGGCTAGGAGATGTTGACTACCTCGGCTGGTACGCAGGAGGTCGTGGGTTCGATCCCGACCCTGACAATGGAGTTTGCGTGTCTCTCTCTCATCATCATCACGGTGGCTAGGAGATGTTGACTACCTCGCCTGGTACGCAGGAGGTCGTGGGTTCGATCCCGACCCTGACAATGTAGTTTGCGTGTCTCTCTCTCTCATCATCATCACGGTGGCTAGGAGATGTTGACTACCTCGCCTGGTACGCAGGAGGTCGTGGGTTCGATCCCGACCCTGACAATGTAGTTTGCGTGTCTCTCTCTCTCATCATCATCACGGTGGCTAGGAGATGTTGACTACCTCGCCTGGTACGCAGGAGGTCGTGGGTTCGATCCCGACCCTGACGCTTGCTGCTATATATTTGGAGTCTGCGTGTCTCTCTCTCTCTCATCATCATCATCACGGTGGCTAGGATATGTTAACTACCTCGCCTGGTGTACAGGAGGTCGTGGGTTCGATCCCACACACACACACACCATACACACATCACATACACACACTACACACACACACAACACACAAACCACCCCACACAACACACACAGCCCACACACATACACACACCACACACACCACACACACAACCCACACACACCACACACCACACCACACGCAACACACACTCACACCACACACACACACCACATACACACACCACACACACACCATACACACCACACATACACACACACCACACACACACACCACACACACAACACACACCACACACACCATACACACCACACACACACACACCACACATACACACACTACACACCCCACACATCCCACAGTGGTTTGGCATTGTTCCCATCGTGTCGCGTGGTGGTCGGATGAGGGGGGGGGGCGGGTGATGGTGCTGGTGGTTTGGAGCGGTGGTGCAGCGGTTAGCGCTACGCTGCGCTATGAACCCGGCGACCCGGGTTCGATTCCCGCTCACGTCCAACAACAGTGACGATTATCTGAACCGGTCCTGGGCCTCCCCTAGGTAGACTCAGCCTCAAATGAGTACCCGGTGCGGTGTGTAGTAAACCCGCTGGGGAGACAAAGGCGGCCGGGCGTGGTGCTGGCCACCCACCCCCTCGTGTGCCGTGCCGGCCTTCATAGGTGCTCGTGACGAACAGCACTTGCCCCTACAGTCTGTGAAGGCTACACGGGGGACTATGGTCCCAGCTGCCTTGAGATCATTGACAAGATCCTCCCGTGTAGTTCTGGGCTGATTCCTCACCGGCTGTGGTGGGGCAGAGCCATGCACGACGGACAGACAGACAGACAAATAATCCCTGGCGGGCAGTGTGGAACCTGTTGTTCCTACCTGTATCAACTCGGCAGAATACACTAGTGCCCGGTAAATATGATGGAACAGCCATAGGCATCTTCTTGGTTCTTTAGGTAAAGTCACGTAGAATGGAAATAATAAAATAATAAAAATAAAACATTAAATAATTCTCACGACGTTTCGGCCACAACGCAAGCAGCCGTCCTCAGGTGGAGAGCAGGTTCTGCTCTCCACCTGAGGACGGCTGCTTGCGTACACAGGCGAGGGAGATGAGATCTCACCACCGATTATCTTTAACTTATCTCTATGGCATCTCTGTGTGTCTCTTCGTATTTACTCAATGGCCCCATCCCAGAGGTCGCAACCGGGTACCCGATACCCGTACCCTACCCGATACCCGGCTACCCGTACCCGGCCGGGTACGGGTACCCGTTTGCGACCCTGGTGCGGCCGGGTACGGGTACGGGTAGGCCGTGAGTCACTGCTGAGTCACCGTTTGTCACTCATTTCCCAACGTCTTGTCTCTTCTCACAATTCAAGTTCCTAGAATCAACCCACCCGCGCCTGCAACATGGCTTCATCCCAGAGGTCGCAATCGGGTACCCGTACCCTACCCGATACCCGGCCGGGTACGGGTAGCCGGGTATCGGGTAGGGTACGGGTACCCGATTGCGACTCTGATGCGGCTGGGTACGGGTAAGGAAATTAAAACCCGTTTGCGACCTCTGCCCCATCCGTAGCGTGCGTTGCACGGCCATAATTGCACTGCTGCGGAACGTGTCAACTTACTATTTGAGAGTGCGCTAAACAGTAGGGATGATGTTGCAGATCTTGAGAACGGAATTTGTTTTGTTCGCATCTTCGAGGACAAACTCCGCAATGTTTGTTTCAATGCATCCGACCGCGCGCACGCCACGCGGTAACGGAGAGCCTGTGACGTCACCGGGAGGAAGTCACATCACACCATGGGAGGAGCAAGTAGTCACGTGACACCACGTCACACACAACTAAACTTATTTCCACTGCGGACGGTCCGATATTTGGTATCGAGGCCCGAAATGGTAGAGGATTTCGTTTGGCACTTTCCCGTATTGACCCCGACCGGAACAAAATCATCGGGATGGCACGTCCTCTCACGTCACCGAGCAACGACGTCACCGCAAAGGGCGGCGATCATCGATCGCCGCGTGTCGGACCAAAGTTTACTGCGGGTCAGAGGTCGCAACCGGGTACCCGATACCCGGCTACCCGTACCCGATACCCGGCTACCCGTACCCGATACCCGGCTACCCGTACCCGATACCCGGCTACCCGTACCCGATACCCGGCTACCCGTACCCGATACCCGGCTACCCGTACCCGATACCCGGCTACCCGTACCCGATACCCGGCTACCCGTACCCGATACCCGGCTACCCGTACCCGATACCCGGCTACCCGTACCCGGCCGGGTACCGTGAGTCACTGGTGAGTAACCGTTTGTCACTCATTTCGGGTAGGGTACGGGTAGGGAACGGCAGAGGTGTGGACTCGAGTCATGTGACTTGGACTCGAGTCAGACTCGAGTCATGAATTTGATGACTTGAGACTCGACTTGGACTTGCATCACAATGACTTTGTCCCACCTCTGAGGTGTGGACTCGAGTCATGTGACTTGGACTCGAGTCAGACTCGAGTCATGAATTTGATGACTTGAGACTCGACTTGGACTTGCATCACAATGACTTTGTCCCACCTCTGGGGAACGGGTACCTGTACCCGGCCGGGTACGGGTACGGGTACCCGATTGCGACCCTGGTGTGGCCGGGTACGGGTACGGGTAAGGAATCAAAACCCGTTTGCGACCTCTGACGTGTACCACAACGGGACAGCCGTGGCCGACTCCCTCGAACTGATAGCTCTCTGCCTCCTCCCCCCTCTGTCTATTTAAGGCCTCGCCACAAAGTCAATCTCCCTCTCTGTGCCTGTGTTGCTCTCTCTATGTATCTTGGTGATATCTGTCTGCTTATATGTCTGTCTATAGTTTTCTGGTTATATTCTATGTCGCTATTTCATTATACCTGATGATGATTGCTTGTGTTGCAATCGAAACGTTGTATGTTATTATTTTATTTATTATTTTATCTTTATACGTGACTTTACCGAAAGAACCAAAGAGTAATTCCTGCAGTCACGAAAGCTCCAAATTCAAGATTAGGCCGTTCAGAGTTTGACGACGTTCATAAGTTAGTTGTTCTTCAGACAAATTCGTTCACGAGCGGTGGGTGTCTCGCGTGGCCGTGTGAAACTAAGTTTCGGCCCCGCGTCTGGCCCGCGTCTGGCCCGCGTCTGGCCCGCGTCTGGCCCGCGTCTGGTCCGCGTCTGGCCCGCGTCTGGTCCGCGTCTGGCCCGCATCTGGCCCGCGTCTGGCCCGCGTCTGGCCCGCGTCTGGCCCGCATCTGGCCCGCGTCTGGCCCGCGTCTGGCCCGCGTCTGGCCCGCGTCTGGCCCGTGTCTGGTCCGTGTCTGGCCTGTGTCTGACCCACGGGGTCCGCAGGTCTCCCATCACCTAATATCTGGAGGCCTGAATGTGCAGCTTCAGAGCTTGGACCTCCAGTCCAAATAGAGATTCTGATTACGATTTTAAAAGATTCTGAACAGACAACCGCGGAACCCACCCCGTTCGGTCCATCGCGACGCCCCGCAAGAATCTGAAAGTGTAGACCGGGCTCGGTGGTGGTGGGTGGGTGGGTGGGTGTGGGAGGCGGTACGCAGATTAACAACAACGGTATGTTTAATCGTAATCAGAACGACGACGACCACAACAACAACAACAACAATATTATCATCATTATTAAACCGAGAGAGAATGAAAATGAACCCAAAAAAGAAACTAAACAAAGGTATGCACAGCACGGACTCGGGAACCACGTCTTGATGAAGTTCACTTACAAATCACGTCACAAGATTGTCGACACGGGTATCGAAATAACGCGCGCCATGTACGCAGGACGCGCATGTGCACGGGTACGCTACGTACGCAGAACGCGCGCGCGCACGGGTACGCTACGTACGCAGAACGCGCGCGGGTACGCCACGCTAACGCACGCGGGACGCGCGCCCGCTCGCAAAATCAGAGGCACAAGATCGGCTTTTTTTTGTTGTCGTTTTTTTTTCTTCTTCTTTCATTTTCAAAAAAAAAAAAGAGGCGCGTCCCGACAGACGAAGAGACCAAGTTGACGACCGCCGCTTTAAAGAATTCGAGAGCATTCCCGACGGACAGCACGAAGAGAGACGCCGCACACGGACGCCCCCCACATCTCCGTCGCGAGCCGCGAGCGTGCCAGTGCAAAACCAACATTCGCATGGGGGTCTTTTTAAATCCTTTATATTAAGTTCGCTTGCTTGCGTGCTTGCTTGCTTACGACCGTGCAAATCTTTCGGTCGTTTTTTAACCCACTTCCCGTGATCCAATCGAGCTGACATTTTCCACACAGACTCGTTGTGCGTGACAATTAATGTTCGTGACATTTTTTTTCTCCAAAATTTTACACTTTTTAGAACAAAAATATTCTATTTAATTACCAATTGCTTAATGGTGCAATGCAATCATCTGATCCATAGGTGGCAGCCATCTCAAGCCAGAGGACGAGAGGACTCTAGCCGCCACGCATATAAAGGATTTATAGTGAAAAACTTTGTTTTTACGGGTTATACTTGTTACCATTTGTTTGTTTAATTCACGGGCGGAGAAGTACAATTTTTGTTGCTTACCGCACCGGGAAGGGGGGGGGGGGGCTGAATAGGACGTTCATAACCTATCACCCCCCTCCCCTTTCGCCCCCCTCCCCCTCCTTTGTTACCCCCCCCCCCTCCCCCACTGGCCAAATCTGAGTCGAACCATCGTGGTCGCTTTACAGTTACATGGTCGGCTGTCTTTTTCTTTCCCACCGGCTGGGTTTTCTTGTTTGCCGTGCCGAGCCAGAAGCACAACGTAAAACGCGCTTTGGACATGCGGGACGAGACGTCGGAGTCTGGCTCTGGGTGGGTGGGGGGTCAAACAGGGTCACGGGGTGGGGTCAAGAGGGTCACGGGGTGGGGTCAAGAGGGTCACGGGGTGTGGGGTCAAGAGGGTCACGGGGTGTGGGGTCAAGAGGGTCACGCGGTGGGGTCAGAGGGTCACGGGGTGGGGCCAGAGGGTCACGGGGTGGGGCCAGAGGGTCACGGGGTGGGGGGTCAAGAGGGTCACGGGGTGGGGGGTCAAGAGGGTCACGGGGTGGGGTCAAGAGGGTCACGGGGTGTGGCCAAGAGGGTCACGGGGTGGGGTCAAGAGGGTCACGGGGTGGGGGGTCAAGAGGGCCACGGGGTGAGGGGTCAAACAGGGCTACGGGGTGGGGCCAGAGGGTCACGGGGTGGGTCAAGAGGGCCACGGGGTGGGGTCAGAGGGCACGCGCTCACCGCCCGTGACGTCAGTGATACGGCTTCTGGCAGCGGGACTCCAATCAACAGCTCGCACCCCCCACTGCCAACCCTCGAGCCCCCCACCCCCCCCACTAACCCCCCCCCCTCACCACCCCCTCCGCTACTCGACCACACGCCCCTCCTCCCCCCCGGTGTCAAGTTCCACCGCCCGCATGCTCAACAGCGGCACCGCCACCTACTGCGCGTGCCGATGGCGGGAGAGAGAGAGGAAGCGCGTCACGTGGGACGACGTGAGGGCGATGTTGACGACGGGAAGGATAGTCGACTTCCACGACACGCCGGGTTGACCTCCCGAGGATGGGGGGGGGGGGGGACGTCCTCGCTGAGCCTCCCCCCCCCCCCCCCACGTGACCCTCTGACCCCGAGTCATTTCGACGTTTTGGCCAATTCCATCGTCGATTTGAAGCTTTCGTGACTGCAGGGATTCATCTTCTTGGTTCTTTCGGTAAAGTCAGGTAGAAGGGAAATAATAAAATAATAAAAGTAAAACATAATAAAATATAATTCTCACGACGTTTCGGCCACAACGCAAGCAGCCGTCCTCAGGTGAAGAACAGGTCTGTCGGAAAGACAGCGTCCGAATTCAGACGCTGTCTTTCCGACAGACCCCCCCCCCCCCCTCCCATAACGATCAGAATGATTGTATTATTTTTATTATTTAATTATTTCACTTCTACGTTACTTTACCGAAAGAACCAATAAGGTGAATCCCTGCAGTCACGAAAGCTTTAAAGCGAAAGGTGATCGGGTGATCGGGATACGCCGTTTGATGTTTCGGAGCCTCCCGTAACGTCTCTCTCCCACCGATATCAATTCGCGCGTGGTGTCACGTCCCAGTAACACGCTCCCCCGTCCCACCGCTCCCCCGTCCCACCGCTCCCCCATCCCACCGCTCCCCCCCCCCCCATAACGATCACTCCCCCCCCCTCCCCCCAGCAAAGGCCTCACAGAGTCACGTGACTCTTGTTGCAGGAGGGTCGGTCCTATCAAGTTATTTCAGCAGTAGGGGGCCTGTGAAGTTTTCCGATGCGATCCTAAGTTGGTCGCAAGTGGGGTGTGGGTTGAGGCCGTGCAGATGGCGCATCTGTCAAAATCATCTCAGTCCAGTCAACCCATGGCACCACCTGGGGTCTGTTCCGTGACATCCTACTATCAGCAGCAGCAGCAGCGACACTTAAGACTAAACTATTTTTGATTTCACCAGGTAAACCCACTGAGCTATACTGTATAGCTCTTTTTCAGCAGCCACCTGTCACAAATGCCACCACGGTGAAAGAGAGAGAGACACTCAAACTCCGAATATACAGCAGCAGGCGTCAGGGTCGGGATCAACCCCACGACCTCCTGTACACCAGGCGAGGGAGTTAACATCTCCTAGCCACCGTGTTGATGATGAGAGAGAGACACTCAAACTCCAAATATACAGCAGCAGGCGTCAGGGTCGGGATCAAACCCACGACCTCCTGTACACCAGGCGAGGGAGTTAACATCTCCTAACCACCGTGATGATGATGAGAGAGAGACACTCAAACTCCAAGTATACAGCAGCAGGCGTCAGGGTCGGGATCAAACCCACGGCCTCCTGTATACCAGGGTGAGGGAGTTAACATCTCCAAGCCACCGTGATGATGATGAGAGAGAAACACTCAAACTCCAAATATACAGCAGCAGGCGTCAGGGTCGGGATCAAACCCACGACCTCCTGTATACCAGGCGAGGGAGTCAACATCTCCTAGCCACCGTGATGATGATGAGAGAGAGACACGCAACTCCAAATATACAGCAGCAGGCGTCAGGGTCGTGATCAAACCCACGGCCTCCTGTATACCAGGCGAGGTAGTCAACATCTCCCAGCCACCGTGATGATGATGAGAGAGAGACACTCAAACTCCAAATATACAGCAGCAGGCGTCAGGGTCGGGATCAAACCCACGGCCTCCTGTATACCAGGCGAGGGAGTTAACATCTCCAAGCCACCGTGATGATGATGAGAGAGAGACACTCAAACTCCAAATATACAGCAGCAGGCGTCAGGGTCGGGATCAAACCCACGACCTCCTGTATACCAGGCGAGGTAGTTAACATCTCACAGCCACCGTGACAACCCCGAGATGCACCTTGATGCCCTTCCCCCGTGGCATAGTGGCTGACACAAGCGCCGTGATGATGTCACCGCCACTTACTGGCGAACGGCGTTGCCGGTGATCCCAATTGAGTCTTTCGCACGACATTTTTTCGGCACCCGGGGGATGTTTTTGGCAATTACCAGTCGCATCGTACGAGGGGGATTTTGTATTTTTTTGTTTATCTATGGGAGGAAAATCAGAGGACCCGGCGGAAACGCATGCGGAACAAGGCGGGGGAAAGAATGCACAAATCCTAAGGCACCCGGAGTTGGGGATCGAACCCAGGGGCCCTGCCCGCCAGAGGTCGCAACCGGGTACCCGATACCCGTACCCTACCCGATACCCGTACCCTACCCGATACCCGGCTACCCGTACCCGGCCGGGTACGGGTACGGGTAGACCGTGAGTCACTGGTGAGCAACCGTTTGTCACTCATTTCCCAACGTCTTGTCTCTTCTCACAATTCAAGTTCCTAGAATCAACCCACCCGCGCCTGCAACATGGCTTCATCCCAGAGGTCGCAATCAGGTACCCGATACCCGTACCCGGCCGGGTACGGGTGTAGGGTACGGGTACGGCCGGGTACGGGTACGGGTACCCGTTTGCGACCCTGGTGCGGCCGGGTATGGGTACGGGTAAGGAATCAAAACCCGTTTGCGACCTCTGGTACCTGCTGCGAGGCACAAGCGTCACCAGATGGGGAGCCGTCGGCTGCTCTCTCCATGTTCGCTCGGCCGTTGAGAAGCAAAGTCGGGGGGGGGAGGTGGGGGGGGTCATGGTAAATCAGTGGGGTATCTGCACGTGGATCACACTGCACACGTGCCGTACGCACGTGGGAACTTCTTTCGCACCGTGCGTAGCCTACCGTGCCAATTGGAGGTGCGGGTTATAGTGGGAGTAGCGGTGGTGTGGTGTTGGTGGTGGTGATGGTAGTAGTGGTGGTATAGTGGTGGTGGTGGTATAGTGGTGGTGGTGGTAGTAGTGCTGTTGGTGGTATAGTGGTGGTGGTATAGTGTTGGTGGTAGTAGTGGTGTTGGTGGCATAGTGATGGTGTATGTACGTGTGTATGTAGAACTTCTTTTGCACCGTACGTAGCCAACCGTGTTAATCGGAGTTGCGGGGGGGGGGGGGGGGGGGAATGAACGGCGGAGTGGCGGTTATCGCACCGGGCTCCGACACTGCCGTCCCGGGTTCGACACCAGACCACGGCCAACATCAGTGGCAAGCAGCATCATCGCCCGAACCGCTTCGGAACCAGGAACCGCTCCGCCGCCCATCTCCGCGAGTTCGCCGCAGCCCCCAAGCGCTCCCCAACCCGGCGAGCTGCCCCCGGGCTACCCGACGAAGCTGGGAGGGGAAGGGGTGAAATCTCGGAGATGATGCGCGCTTTGTTCCGCGCGTGAACAAATCGCCGCGTGGTGCGTGCGCGTTTAGTGCGCGCCTTGCGGGTCGAGACGTACCGCACGCACGCACGCACGACCACACGCACGTACCGCACGCACGTACCGCACGCACGCACGCACGTACCGCACGCACGCACACACGCACGCACGCCCACATGCACGCACGCGTACATACACACTATGGCTGGAGATTGTCCACAGGACAAGAATTGGCTTCAGGCAGTTTGGCTCCCGCCACCGGCTCCTCGCTGCGCTGCGCTGGGTTGAAGAGACGCGAGCTCATCATTAGGGGGGGGGGGGGGAGTCCGGGGCGGGCGGGCAGGTGGAGGGGGGAGTTATTTAGGACCAGGGCTGGGTTTTGGCGGTTAGTGGGAGGGTTCGCAATATAGGGCTGGGGTTAGGATTAGGGTTATAGGTTAGGACGAGGGTGATTGGATAGGGGTTAAGGGTAATAGGTGTGAGTCCGTGAGCAGGATAGGTTCACAGTTTGGGGCCGGATTGTGGGTGAGAGTCGATTGGTGTCAGGTTGAGATCAGGAGGCGAGGGTCTACCGCGGGAGCCTGGGGCCAGACGCAGTGAGCGAGCCTCAGGGTTTGTGGGGTCGGTTAGTGGGGTCGGTTTGTGGGATCGGTTTGTGGGGTCGGTTTGTGGGGTCGGTTTGTGGGATCGGTTTGTGGGGTCGGTTAATGGGATCGGTTTGTGGGGTCGGTTTGTGGGGTCGGTTTGTGGGGTCGGTTTGTGGGGTCGGTTTGTGGGGTCGGTTTGTGGGGTCGGTTTGTGGGGTCGGTTTGTGAGGTGGGTTTGTGGGGTCAGTTTGTGGGGTCGGTATCGCTGTACCAAGATCTGGTACCTGCGGGATGGGGTCGGGGGGTCGGGGGGTCGGGGGGTCAAGGGGTCAGAGGTCGTTCCGGGTGAGCGACCCGCACGAACAACGGGTTTCCAACTACGACGTCCGCCGTTCGCCCCGGCCCCCCCCCCTGCAAGGCGTTCCGCGTTCGCGGCTCAAACCGCGCGCCCTCCGCCAGATGCCCCGTGCCGCTGTAATGCCGCTGATAAACAAACAAAATAAAAGATTAAATAATTCGGAGGCGCAAACATTTTCGGACGTATCCATCGTCGTCATCGCGATCGCCGCTAAACCGCCCCATGCACAGCACCCCCCCCAACCAACGGGAAACCTGGACACGTAGAGGCGTACTGCCCCTACCCCCCCCTGAGCCCCCCACACCCCCGTCTACCACGGCCCCCCAAACCCCCCGCGCCAGCCCCTGCGTTTTCAAAGGGGGGCGGCCGGGATTTCTTAAAGACAGTCATTCGACTACACGCACACTACTCAACGACACTAAGACGACGGCGACAACAACAATTATAGTTGTCGTTCGACTTTGAAAACGTTTAAAATATATATATATACGTTCACGCCTGGCCGTCGGGGACACATTTAAGAAAAACTAAAACTGAAGGTTAAAATTCATTTTTTAACGGAAAAAAAACGGACGAACGGCTCAAAATTATTATTTTTTTGCCCACAATTCAACTTGCCACCCATTTTGGTTAGTGACGCCTTCCTGTTGGCTGTTGCTGCTGCTGATGCTGCTGCTGATGATGGTGCTGCTGCTGATGCTGCTGCTGATGCTGCTGCTGCTGATGATGCTGCTGCTGATGATGCTGCTAACGATGGTGCTGCTGATGGTGCTGTTGCTGCTGCCGCTGCCGTTGATGTTACCAACACTGCTGCTGATGATGCTGCTGCTGATGATGATGCTGATGATGCTGCTGATGACGATGGTGCTGCTGATGGTGCTGCTGCTGCTACTGCTGCCGCTGCCGTTGATGTTACCAACACTGCTGCTGATGATGCTGCTGCTGATGATGACGCTGCTGCTGCTAATGATGCTGCTGCTGATGCTGCTGCTACTGCTGATGATGCTGATGGTGCTGCTGCTGCTGCTGCTGATGATGCTACGGCTGCTGTGGATGATGGCACGCCCTGCCGTCTAGCGCAGCTGGGAAGGGGGAAGCTGTTCCATTCCGGTTCAAAATCCGCGTGGATCCGGAGTGAGCGAGCGAGCGAGCGCGCCGCGGGCTAACGGAGCTTTGCCTCTCGCGACGCGCCGACGAGAAAGACTCACTGACCATCATCCTCTGACCGGCATCCTTCCACGTCACCGCAGCCTCAATGCCCCCCACTCCGCACACTTCAACCCCCCAGCTGGAGCCGGTTACCGTGACGACGCGAGGTCCTCGGACGCCGGTCCTGAAGGGTCACGAGTTCGAGGTGGGGGGTCGTTGGGGGTCAAATCAGCTCGTCTCAGACATCATCATCACCGCCGTCGTCGCCGTCGCACGGACATACTGGGCCCCGACGTAATAACGTGGAATTTCCACGGATGACGAAGATGAACGCCGCACCGCTTCCTAACTTATATTAACGCGTTTCCGCTCTCTCTCTCTCTAAAACTCTTAATTTATCCGGCGGAATTTTTTTTGTTTTTTGTTTTTTTACATTTGGACTGCGACACCGCCTGCTCGCGAAACGGCGTCACCGGGGGGGGTCTTTAAAGTCCGCCCCCCGAGGCAGACGGTCTGAGTGCTGGGGGAGCGGGGAGAGGGGGGGGGTAAGCGGGAGCCTCGCTAAACTTCATCCACGTCTTCCGGCCTTTCCTCCTCCCTCCCTCCTCCTTCCTTCCTTCCTTCACCGTCCTCGCAAACTCTTCCCGCGGAAAATCTTCGCACCGTTCGTTGTCGACTTGAGGCCGGCCGAGGGAGTCGCTGCTGCTGCTGCTGCTCCGGGGAGGGGGGGGGGGAGGAAGGGGGGGAGGAGGGGGGGGAATTGGTGAGGAGCGAGGAGTGGGGGGGTAGGAGGACGAGTTGATGGTGGAGGAAGTTCCGTTCCGTGGCCGCCACCCCCCCCCCCGGCCCCTCCCCCACTGCCGCCCCCCCCCCCGGCTTCTGGGTCGTTCTCCACCCCCCCCCCCACCACCGTGCCCGCCACCCACCGGCCGGAGAGAAGTTTCGCCTCCTCGCTCAGCGTCATTTCAGGAGGATCTTTGGGAGACAAAAGACAAGAAAACGGAGGTGGTCACGGCTTTTGCTGCGTCAACGGCCGTTCTCAGCCTTGCCCAGACCACCGACACAAGAGGTTTCAGCGGAACGCGCGCAGAGGGCGGGTGGCGCCACTGGCGGCACGGCTCCCGTGCACGCGCGCGTCACGTGACCACCACGTACCTCAGCCCTAAAATGAGTGGACCTGGTGCGGTGGTGTGGTAAACATCGCCGCCGGGGAGACAAAGGCGGCCGGGCGTGGTGCTGGCCACCCACCCACCCCCTCGTGTGCCACCGTGCCGGTAGCCTTCATAGGCGCTGCTGCTACCTAACAGCACTTGGCCCCGACAGTCTGTGACAGGCTATACGGGGGCTCTTTGTCTTTGTGTGTGGGGGAGCGGTGGTGGAGTCGTTAGCGCTGCACTGCGCTACGAATCACCGCGTCGTACCGCGGCGGGTTCAGACGCGCTGTTTCTGCGGCCGTCTGGAACGCTCTTTGCTTCTGATATTTGGAAGCTACTGGGAGCTGTGATGCGCTTTTAAATCATCGATGAAAACTGGTTTCTTTATACGCTTAGTTTTTTCGGTGAAGTCACGTAGGTAAAAAATTTAATTAAAATTAATAAAAGTAAAATAATTAAAAATTAACCCGTAAAAACAAAGTTTTTCACTATAAATCCTTTATATGCGTGGCGGCTAGAGTCCTCTCGTCCTCTGGCTTGAGATGGCTGCCACCTATGGGTCAGATGATTGCCTGCCACTATTAAGCAATTGGTAATTAAATATACATTTTTTGTTTCCTAAAAGTGTAAAGTTATGGAAAACATTGTTCACGAAAATTAATTGTCTCGCACAACGAGTCTGTGTGCAAAATGTCAGCTCAATTGGATCACGGGAAGTGGGTTAAAAAACGACCGAAAGATTTGCACGGTCGTAAGCGCGCAAGCAAGCAAGCAAGTGAACTTAATATAAAGGATTAAAAAATCACGACGTTTCGGAGGCAACACAAGTCTCCGTCATCAGGTGGGACCATCACAGCCAGATTTGCTGCATCAAGTGAGGCAGGGATTCCACTTGTATTTAAGAACTTGCATCTTGAATCCCTGCCTCACTTGATGCAGCAAATCTGGCTGTGACGGTCCCACCTGATGACGGAGACTTGTGTTGCCTTCGAAACGTCGTGATTTTTATTATTTTATTTTTATTATTTTTAATTTCATTTTTTACCCACGGGACTTTACCGAAAAAGCTAAGATTACGAATCCTTGCAGTCACGAAAGCTTCAAATCTAGAACTAGTTTCTTTAGCTCGCTGGACCTTACCTGGTCAAAATAAAACGGAAAAAGTTTAGCTCAGAATTAAATCTTGACTTAAAGCTTTCGTGAAGGCAGATCTGAAACACGGTAGGACCAATACCTCGGCCGTGGCTGGTCATTGTTTTAATGCGGTGGGCTCATGCGAAATTGATGTCTCTAAGACGATGGTACTTTGCAAGCCCACTGGCCATCAACAAAGATTCGTTCATGAAGCCATCCATATATATAGACACAGACGCAATGATGGGTACAAACTAAGCAATCATTGGAAGGACGTTATCGACCAAGTCATAACTGGCTGTGATGTTCCCATCGTACCACCTTCAGATGTCAGTTGGGCTTTACGCCCATTTCAAACTCGCGCTTTCACGGGATTCACACCAACACAGCCGCTTCGCGAGCCGACCCGTGCGTTGTGGCTCTGAGATCTCCCATGAACGTGCTCATCTCCCATTAACATGCTAATCTTCCATTAACATGCTAATTTCTCATTAACATGCTCATTTTCACCTGGCAGCCCTTTGATTGGTGGAAAACCAACCACCGTCTGGGGTTTGGCTGCCCACCACTCACATTACACTGGTCAAAAAATAAAAAATTCTGGCCTGGACTTTTGCAGCTGTTTTAGACTAATTTCAGGGTGCTGATTCCAAACCTGATCTCAGATTTGCTCTATCACATCTCATTTTTAAATCCTTTATATTAAGTTCGCTTGCTTGCTTGCGTGCTTGCGTGCTTGCGTGCTTGCTTGCTTGCTTATGACCGTGCAAACCTTTTGGTTGTTTTTTAACCCACTTCCCGTGATCCAATCGAGCTGACATTTTGCATACAGACTCATTGTGCGAGACAATTAATGTTCGTGAAAATTTTTTTCCTAAATTTTACACTGTTTAGGGAAACCAAATTTAATATTTAATTACCAATTGTTTAATACTGCAGACAATCATCTGACCCATAGGTGGCAGCCATCTCAAGCCAGAGGACGAGAGGACTCTAGCCGCCACGCATATAAAGGATTTATAGTGAAAAACTTAGTTTTTACGGGTTATACTTATTATGCTATCGGCATACCCCATTTTCATTGATTTTACCCACTTATGATTGCAAGTTGTTGCGAGTCAGTGACTGCTTTAGTGTTAAAATATGGTGCTGTATTTTTAGTATAGTGTGTTTATAACATCATTTTATGTAGATATCCACATTCATTTAATATTTTTCTTCTGCAGTTTTTATTAAAAATGCAATATTTAATATCTCAAAAACCTGATGTGATAGACAAAAACTGATGCCAGATTTGGAATCAACACCCCAAAAATTACATTAAAACCCTTGGAATACCTTATGCCAAAAAAAGTGTGTTGACCAGTGTTATTATTGGCTGCCGACATTTGGGCTACAACCATTTCAAGCCCCTTATAAACAGTTTGCCTTGGAAGCTAACCCCCCCCCCCCTTTCCTGAAGACGACTGCTTGCGTTGAGATCGAAACGTCGTAGTTTTTAAATCCTTTATATTAAGTTCGCTTGCTTGCTTGCTTGCTTAGGACCGTGCAAATCTTTCAGTCGTTTTTTAACCCACTTCCCGTGATCCAATCGAGCTGACATTTTCACACAGACTCGTTGTGCGTGACAATTAATGTTCGTGAAAAATTTTTTCCAAAATTTTACACTTTTTAGGACAAAAATATTATATTTAATTACCAATTGCTTAATGGTGCAATGCAATCATCTGACCCATAGGTGGCAGCCATCTCAAGCCAGAGGACGAGAGGACTCTAGCCACCACGCATATAAAGGATTTATAGTGAAAAACTTTGTTTCTACTGGTTATACTTATTTATTATTTTCCTTGAACCTATCTACGTGACTTTACCGAAAGACCCAAGAATATTAGTTTGGAATTATTTTGGTTTCCGACCCCTGGCATTTTTGTGTGTGTTTACTTTCGTTGTCCTTCCAGCGCACCGCCGATTGCCACGGTTTGGTTATGTACGGTGCGAAAGAAGTTCAACATACTGCCCATAGACTAACACTGCCCATAGACTCAACACTGCCCATAGACTAACACTGCCCATAGACTAACACTGCCCATAGACTAACACTGCCCATAGACTCAACACTGCCCATAGACTCAACACTGCACCATAGACTCAACACTGCACCATAGACTCAACACTACCCATAGACTCAACACTGCCATAGACTCATAGACTCACACTGCCCTAGACTCAACACTACCATAGACCTCAACACTGCCCATAGACTCAACACTGCCCATAGACTCAACACTGGCACCATAGACTCACACTGCACCATAGACTCAACACTGCACCATAGACTCAACACTGCCCATAGACTCAACACTGCACCATAGACTCAACACTGCCATAGACTCAACACTGCACCATAGACTCAACACTGCCCATAGACTAACACTCCCCATATACTAACACTAACACTGCCCATAGACTAACCCACTGCCCATTAGACTAACACTGCCCATAGACTCAACACTGCCCATAGACTCACACTGCCCATAGACTCAACACTGCCCATAGACTCAACACTGCCCATAGAACTCAACACTGCCCATAGAACTCAACACTGCCACTAGACTCACACTCCCAGACTCAACACTACCCAATATACTCAACACTACCCTAGACTCAACACTGCCCATAGACTCAACACTACCCATAGACTCAACACTAACCTACTCACATGGTCCCATAGACTCAACACTGTCCCATAGACTAACACTGCCCATAGACTCAACACTGCCCATAGACTCAACACTGCCCATAGACTCAACACTGCCATAGACTCACACTGCCCATAGACTCAACACTGCCCATAGACTCACACTGCCCATAGCCTCAACACTGCCCATAGACTAACACTGCCCATAAACTCACACTGCCCATAGACTCAACACTGCACCATAGACTCAACACTGCCCATAGACTCAACACTGCCCATAGACTCAACACTGCACCATAGACTCAACACTGCCCATAGACTAACACTACCCATAGACTCAACACTGCCCATAGACTCAACACTGCCCATAGACTCAACACTGCACCATAGACTCAACACTGCCCATAGACTCAACACTGCCCATAGACTCAACACTGCCCATAGACTAACACTACCCCATAGACTCAACACTGCCCATAGACTCAACACTGCACCATAGACTCAACACTGCCATAGACTCAACACTGCCCATAGACTCAACACTGCCCATAGACTCAACACTGCCCATAGACTCAACACTGCCCATAGACTCAACACTGCCCATAGACTCAACACTGCACCATAGACTCAACACTGCCCATAGACTCAACACTGCCATAGACTCAACACTGCCCATAGACTCAACACTGCACCATAGACTCAACACTGCCCATAGACTCAACACTGCCCATACACAACACTGCCCATAGACTAACACTGCCCATAGACTCAACACTACCCATAGACTCAACACTGCCCATAGACTCAACACTGCCCATAGACTCAACACTGCCCATAGACTCAACACTGCCATAGACTCAACACTGCCATAGACTCAACACTACCCATAGACTCAACACTGCCCATAGACTCAACACTGCCCATAGACTCAACACTGCCCATAGACTCAACACTGCCCATAGACTCAACACTGCACCATAGACTCAACACTGCCCATAGACTCAACACTGCACATAGACTCAACACTGCCCATAGACTCCACTGCCCATATAGACTCAACACTGCCCATAGACTAACACTGCCCATAGACTCAACACTGCCCATAGACTCAACACTGCCCATAGACTCAACACTGCCCATAGACTCAACACTGCCCATAGACTCAACACTGCACCATAGACTCAACACTGCCCATAGACTCAACACTGCCCATAGACTCAACACTGCCCATAGACTCAACACTGCCCATAGACTCAACACTGCCCATAGACTCAACACTGCCCATAGACTCAGCACTGCCATAGACTCAACACTGCACCATAGACTCAACACTGCCCATAGACTCAACACTGCCCATAGACTAACACCCATAGACTCAACACTGCCATAGACTCAACACTGCCCATAGACTCACACTGCCCATAGACTCAACACTGCCCATAGACTCAACACTGCCCATAGACTCAACACTGCCCATAGACTCAACACTGCCCATAGACTCACACTGCCCATAGACTAACACTACCCATAGACTCAACACTGCCCATAGACTAACACTGCCCATAGACTACACTAGCCCTATGACTCAACACTCCCATAGACTCAACACTGCACCATCGACTCAACACTGCCCCATAGACTCAACACTGCACCATAGACTCAACACTGCCCATAGGACTCAACACTGCACCATAGACTCACACTGCCCAAGACTCAACACTGCACCATAGACTCAACACTGCCCATAGACTCAACACTGCCAATAGACTCAACACTGCCCATAGACTCAACACTGCCCTAGACTCAACACGCCCATAGACTAACACTGCCCATAGTACTACACTGCCCATAGACTCAACACTGCCCATAGACTCAACACTGCCCATAGACTCACCCTGCCCATAGACTAACACTACCATAGACTAACACTGCCCATAGACTCAACACTGCCCATAGACTCAACACTGCCATAGACTCAACACTGCCCATAGACTCACAACACTGCCCATAGACTCACACTGCCATAGACTCAACACTGCCATAGACTCAACACTGCCATAGACCTCAACACTACCATAGACTCAACACTCATAGACTCAACACTGCCCATAGAAACACTGCCCATAGACTAACACTGCCCATAGACTCAACACTGCCCATAGACTCAACACTGCCCATAGACTCAACACTGCATAGACTCACACTGCCCATAGACTCAACACTGCCCATAGACTCACACTGCCCATAGACTCAACATGCCCATAGACTCAACACTGCCATAACTCAACACTGCCCATAGACTCAACACTGCACCATAGACTCAACACTGCCATAGACTCAACACTGCCATAGACTCAACACTGCACCATAGACTTAACACTGCCCATAGACTAACACTACCCATAGACTCAACACTGCCCATAGACTCAACACTGCCCATAGACTCAACACTGCACCATAGACTCAACACTGCCCATAGACTCAACACTGCCCATAGACTAACACTGCCCATAGACTAACACTGCCCATAGACTCAACACTGCCCATAGACTCAACACTGCACCATAGACTCAACACTGCACCATAGACTCAACACTGCCCTAGACTCAACACTGCCCATAGACTCAACACTGCCATAGACTCAACACTGCCCATAGACTCAACACTGCCCATAGACTCAACACTGCACCATAGACTCAACACTGCCCATAGACTCAACACTGCACCATAGACTCAACACTGCCCATAGACTCAACACTGCACCATAGACTCAACACTGCCCATAGACTAACACTCCCCATATACTAACACTAACACTGCCCATAGACTAACACTGCCCATAGACTCAACACTGCCCATAGACTCAACACTGCCCATAGACTCAACACTGCCCATAGACTCAACACTGCCCATAGACTCAACACTGCCCATAGACTAACACTGCCATAGACTAACACTACCCATAGACTCAACACTGCCCATAGACTCAACACTGCCCATAGACTCAACACTGCCCATAGACTCAACACTGCCCATAGACTCAACACTGCACATAGACTCAACACTGCCCATAGACTCAACACTGCACCATAGACTCAACACTGCCCATAGACTTACACTCCCATACACACTAACACTGCCATAGACTCAACACTGCCCATAGACTCAACACTGCCCATAGACTCAACACTGCCCATAGACTCAACACTGCCCATAGACTCAACACTGCCCATAGACTCAACACTGCCCATAGACTCAACACTGCCCATAGACTCAACACTGCCCATAGACTCAACACTCCATAGACTCAACACTGCCCGTAGACTCAACACTGCCCATAGACTCAACACTGCCCATAGACTCAACACTGCCCATAGACTCAACACTGCACCATAGACTCAACACTGCCCATAGACTCACACTGCCCATAGACTAACACTACCCATAGACTCAACACTGCCCATAGACTAACACTGCCCATAGACTCACACTGCCCATAGACTCAACACTGCCCATAGACTCAACACTGCCCATAGACTCAACACTGCCCATAGACTCAACACTGCCCATAGACTCACACTGCCCATAGACTAACACTACCCATAGACTCAACACTGCCCATAGACTAACACTGCCCATAGACTCACACTGCCCATAGACTCAACACTGCACCATAGACTCAACACTGCCCATAGACTCAACACTGCACCATAGACTCAACACTGCCCATAGACTCAACACTGCACCATAGACTCAACACTGCCCATAGACTCAACACTGCATAGACTCAACACTGCATAGACTCAACACTGCCCATAGACTCAACACTGCCCATAGACTCAACACTGCCCATAGACTCAACACTGCCCATAGACTAACACTGCCCATAGACAACACTGCCCATAGACTCAACACTGCCCATAGACTCAACACTGCCCATAGACTCAACACTGCCCATAGACTAACACTGCCCATAGACTAACACTGCCCATAGACTCAACACTGCCCATAGACTCAACACTGCCCATAGACTCAACACTGCCCATAGACTCAACACTGCCCATAGACTCAACACTGCCCATAGACTCAACACTGCCCATAGACTCAACACTGCCCATAGACTCAACACTGCCCATAGACTCACACTGCCCATAGACTCAACACTGCACCATAGACTAACACTGCTCATGTGTGTCTGCGCGTGCGTGTCTGTGCGTGCGTGTCTGTGCGTGCGTGTCTGTGCGTGCGTGTCTGTGCGTGCGTGCGTGTCTGTGCGTGCGTGTGTGTGCGTGCGTGTCTGTGCGTGCGTGTCTGTGCGTGGTGTCTGTGCGTGCGTGTCTGTGCGTGTCTGTGCGTGCGTGCGGTCTGTGCATGGTGGGTCTGTGGTGTCTGTGGTGCGTGTCTGTGCGTCCGTGTCTGTGCGTGTCTGTGCGTGCGTGTGGTGTGCGTGCGTCTGTGCGTGCGTGCGCGTATCGTGCGTGTCTGTGCGTGCGTTCTGTGCGTGCGTGTCTGGCGTGCGTGTCTGTGCGTGCGTGTGTGCGTGCGTGTCTGTGCGTGCGTGTCTGTGCGTGCGTGTGTACGTGCGTGTCTGTGCGTGCGTGTCTGTGCGGCGTGTCTGTGCGTGCGTGTCTGTGCGTGCGTGTCTGTGCGTGCGTGTCTGTGCGTGCGTGTCTGTGCGTGCGTGTCTGTGCGTGCGTGTCTGTGCGGCGTGTTCTGTGCGGCGTGTGTCTGTGCGTGCGTGTCTGTACGTGCGTGTCTGTGCGTGCGTGTCTGTGCGTGCGTGTGTCTGTGCGTGCGTGTCTGTGCGTGCGTGTCTGTGCGTGCGTGTGTCTGTGCGTGCGTGTCTGTACGTGCGTGTCTGTGCGTGCGTGTCTGTGCGTGCGTGTGTCTGTGCGTGCGTGTCTGTGCGTGCGTGTGTCTGTGCGTGCGTGTCTGTACGTGCGTGTCTGTGCGTGCGTGTCTGTGCGTGCGTGCGCGTGTCACACCTGCCCGGCAGATGCGGCCGAAGTGACGAACTGCAGGCCGGGGTTCGTCGCCGTGACGACCGTGCCGGGCATCATGGGAACTGCCGGTGGGGGGAAGAGACAAGGAAGAACAATCATGGCCACGCCGTGACGATCCCTTGCGAGGATTTCCTGTGTACACGCATTTTCTGAACCGGTTCCGGGCCACCCCTACGTCGACTCGGCCTCAAATGAGTACACCTGGTGCTGTGTGTAGTACACATGGCCACTGGCTGGGCGTGGTGCTGGCCACCCACCCAGTTGTGTGTCGTGGCGGCCTTCATAGGTGTTCCCTAACAGCAATTGCCCCAACAGTTTGTTGAAGGCTATATGGGGAATCTTTGTTGTGTGTGTCCATGTGTGTGTGCGCACATTCGTGTGTGTGCGTTCATGTGTGTGCGTGTGTGTGCGTTCGTGTGCTTGCATTCGTGTGCGTTTGTGTGTGTGCGTGAACGTGTTTGTGCGTGTACGTGTATTCGTGCGTGTGCGTGCGTGTGTGCGTGTGTGTGCATGTGTGCGTTCGTGTGTGCGCGTGTGTGTGTGTGAGTGCGTGTGCGTGTGTGCGTGTGAGTGAGTGTGTGTGTGCGTGTGTGTGCATGTGTGCGCGTGTGTGTGTGCGCGTGTGTGTGTGTGTGTGTGAGTGCGTGTGTGCGTGTATGTGCGCGTGTCTGTGTGTGTGTGCGTGCGTGTGTGCGTGTGTGTGCGCGTGTCTGTGTGTGTGTGCGTGGCAGTGAGGAAGCCACGTGGTGGCATCTGTCACGGCCAAACTAATTTGCATTTATGCAGATGAGTCCTGTTAGCACTGGTTTGCTTCTGAGGTGTGGGTAACAGACACCCCCTACACCTCTCCCCCCATACACAAAGACAAAGATGCCCCATATAGCCCCCTCCCTAGACAAACAGACCCATACACACACACACAAACCCCTACGCACACACATAGAACACCCTACACACACATAACCCCCACCACACACATAACCCCCACCACACACACACAGAACCCCCTATGCACACACACAAACCCCTATGCACACACACACAGAACCCCCTATGCACACACACAAACCCCTATGCACACACACAGAATCCCCTACACACACACACACACACAAAACCCCTACGCACACACACAACAACCGCCATTCGCCACCAAGTGGCGGTGACGTCACCACGACGCTTGTGCCAGGCCATGTGCACCTTGAGGCCACGTGAAGTGTCGAACACCCGCTGGCAGGAGGTCACGGGGCAGACCCAGCAGGTGCCACGGGTCGACTGATTGAGATGACTGAGACGACTGGCTGATGCATCACCTGTGCCCCCTACTGTGCCAACTTGCTGAGCTTTAGCCACCCGGCGCTCCGCTCGTTGTTGTGAGCGTCGCTCCTCCGCCCTCCGTTGTTGTTGGAGGGCGACTGCCTCCAACTGCCCAGTAGCGTCCTTCACGAGCCTCCTCCACTGAGGCCGATCTTGACACCGCCGGTACCAGTCATCGGCAAGTCCACTCAGCTCCACGTCCTTCTGTACCACATCACTCCATCTCTTCTCCAGCCCGTGCGACGCCCGTTTAGCCCCCTCGATCGGGCCGAACAAAAGCTGTTTAGGCATGCGGTGGCTGGGCATGCGGGCTACATGACCCAGCCAACGCAGCCTTGCCTGCCGGAGCAGCTCACCGATGGGACTTTGCCCAGATCCTTCAAGGATTTGTGAGCTCCTCACACAATCCAGCCTGGTTAAACCCAGGATGGATCGTAGGCAGGCCAGCCTAAATGTTTCCAACCGGCAAAGATGCTCCATTAGGGGGGTCCACGTTTCGCAAGCGTAGAGAAGGGAGGGAATGACCGTGGCCGAGAAGACCTGAAGCTTCGTGCGGAGCGACAGACCAGGCAGCTTCCACACCGCGTTACGCAACCGATGAAAAGATATTGCCGCTCGACTGATTCGGAGTGAGACCTCCGCTGCCAAACCGGAGCCGGTCATGAGCACACTGCCCAGGTATGGGAAACTCTCCACTCTCTCCACAACTGCCCCATCACCGATTGGGAGTTGTGGGGGTGGAGTGTCCGATGGTACTAAATACCCAGGCAGGTGCTTAGTTTTGGTGGGGCTGATGGTAAGGCCCCACCTCTTAGTGGCACGCTCCAGTCTCAGCAGCAGCGTCTCCAACTCCTCCTCTGAATGAGCAGCAATTACCAAATCACCAGCACACATAACATGGTTGACCAATAGGGAGCCATCCCTTGACCACACCCGGGCATCGATCAGCCTCCCATTATACTGGTAGGAACGAAGTGAACCAGCCTACAATAGATTATATCGTCCGTTCGTCCGTCCGATTAGGTGTAGCAACATCGCCCCCTACTGCAAACACTTGGCAGGACCCTACAAAAACCTTTAGACTCAGTGAGGCTTTCCTGGCTAAACAAGTGTAACATTCCCTTATAATTCCCTTAACTCACAGCAGCCTAAAGCCTACAGCTAGGCCTAAAGCCTAGAACTAGGCCTCAAACTCTCCCTTCGTATCGTACCCCCGCGTGTGTGAAAGAGAGTTAATGTTTAACAATGTTACATGCCCTCATGTTTTAAATAGAAACATTTAAATTTAAAGCTTTTACATTAATAATTAAAACATTTAAATAAAAAATTAACTCACAGCGGCCTAAAGCCTACAGCTAGGCCTAAAGCCTAGAACTAGGCCTCAAACTCTCCCTTCGTATTGTCCGATTAGGTGTAGCAACATCGTCCCCTACTGCAAACACTTGGCAGGACCCTACAAAAACCTTTAGACTCAGTGAGGCTTTCCTGGCTAAACAAGTGTAATAATACATTATGTTTATATTCTTTGGTTATTCGTTCCTACCAGCCCACCCCGCAGAGACCTGTTATCTGTACCAAATGGAAATTCCCCCGGTACAGCAATTGAAGGCTTCATGAACTACGTGGTCAAAATAGATGTTAAATAATGTGGGAGCCAGACGACATCCCTGTTGCACCCCATGGTGTACAGGGAATGGCTCCGACTCCCGGCCACGTAGTGTTACCCGGACCCGCTCACCATCATGAAGGTCTTTAATGATCGTGAGCAAGAGGGTCAGGGACTCCGAAAGCACGAAGAACAACCCAGAGCCCAGGCCTACTGATGGTATCATAGGCCTTTACCAGGTCAATCAAGCAGAGATGTAGGTCTTGTTGGAATTCCCTACACCTCTGCTGTAGCAGACGGACAGAAAATATGGCATCTGTTCAGGACCGCCCTTTCCTGAAACCGCATTGGGGCTCCGCAAGCCTCTCCTCAGCGTGCCTGGCAAGGCGATGCCGAATAATCCTTGCCAGGACCTTTCCAGACACACTGAAGAGACTTACACCTCCACACTTACACCTGCACACACACACACCTACACACACACACACACCTACACACACACCTACACACACACACCTACACACACACTTACACACACACTTACACACACCTACACTCACACACACACACACTTACACACACACACCTACACACACACACCTACACACACACACACACTTACACACACCCACACACACACCTACACACTCTTACACACACACACCTACACACACACTTACACACACACACCTACACACACTTACACACACCTACACTCACACACACACACACTTACACACACACACCTACACACACACACCTACACACACACACACACTTACACACACCCACACACACACCTACACACTCTTACACACACACACCTACACACACACCTACACACACACACACCTACACACACACAGTGCCCCTCCCACTCACCCCCCTGCAGGAAGGCTGCGGTGGCGTGCGGCCCCCCCCCCTGGTAGTGCAGGAGGCCCGGGCCCAGCAGCGTGTGGGTGTTGTGGGGGGGGGCGGGGGGTGGGGGCCCCGGCGGGGGGTGGGGGCCGGGGGGCGGGGGGGCGGGGCCCGACGAGCCCCAGACCGAGTCGTCCAGAGCAGGGCGCTTGGCGGACGGAGACAGCGGGCCCGACTGCCAGGGGGACACGCCGGGGAGACACACGGGGGACACGGGGAGACACCCGGGGACAGGGGGAGACACGGGGACAGGGGGACAGGGAGACATGGGGACAGGGGCACACGGGGACACAGGGACAGGGGGACAGGGAGACACGGGGAGACACGGGGACAGATAGACACGGGGACAGGGGCACACGGGGACACGGGGACAGGGGGACAGGGAGACACGGGGACACGGGGACACACGGGGACAGAGAGACACGGGGACACGGGGACAGGGGGACACGGGGACAGGGGGACAGGGAGACACGGGGACAGGGAGACACGGGGACACGGGGACAGGGAGACACGGGGACACGGGGACAGGGAGACACGGGGACACGGGGACAGGGGGGCAGGGAGACACGGGGACACGGGGACACGGGGACAGGGAGACACGGGGACACACCAGGGGGATACGAGGACAGGGAGACGCGGGGACAGGGAGACACGGGAACACGGGAACAGAGAGACACGGGGACAGGTAGACAGGGGGACAGGGAGGCACGGGGACACGGGGATAGGGAGACATGGAGACACGGGGACAGGGGGGGGAGACAGGGAGACACGGGGACAGGGAGACAGGGAGACACGGGGACACGGGGACAGGGAGACAGGGAGACACGGGGACAGGGAGACACGGGGAGACACGGAGACCCCAAGGGGACACGGTGGTGGGGGGGGGGGGGACACACGGGGATAGACACATGGGGACAGAGGGACACAGAGACACCGAAAGACACAGACACACGCGACATTGTGGACACACGCAGAGACACACACAGACACGCCGACACATGGACACACACACGCAGACACGCACACACACACACATCAAACCAGTTATAAAGGCGGCGTTTGCGCGCTCACTGGGACAGCAGCAACACACAGACGACCGTCACCACACCCACCGACCCACAGTCTCACTCGGTAGCACGCGCACACAAAGACAAAGATCCCCTGCGTAGCCTTAACGGACCATCGGGGCAAGTGCTGTTAACGAGCAGCACCTATGAAGGCCGGTACGGCACGCGAGGTGGGTTGGTGGCCAGCACCACGCCCGGCCGCCTTTGTCTCCCCGGTGGCGATGTTTTACACACAGCACCGGGTGCTAATTTGAGGCCGAGTCGACCTAGGGGAGGCCCAGGTACCGGTTCAGATAATCGTCACTGGGTGTTGGCCGTGAGCGGGAATTGAACTCGGGTCGCCAGGTTCGTAGCGCTAACCGCTGCGATAGCGCCCCCCGTACCAACACAGAGGCGACAACATTCGCCACTAAGTGGCGGTGACGTCACCCACGGCGCTTGTGCCAGGCTAGGTGCAGGAGGAGGTCACGGGACAGACCCAGGTGGTGCCATAGGTTGACTGCTGTGCAAAGCTAGGTGCAGGAGGAGGCCACGGGACAGACCCAGGTGGTGCCACGGGTTGACTGCTGTGCCAGGCTAGGTGCAGGAGGAGGTCACGGGACAGACCCAGCAGGTGCCATGGATTGACTGCTGTGCCAGGCTAGGTGCAGGAGGAGGTCACGGGACAGCCCCAGGTGGTTCCATGGGTTGACTGCTGTGCCAGGCTAGGTGCAGGAGGAGGTCACGGGACAGACCCAGGTGGCTGCCATGGGTTGACTGTTGTGCCAGGCTAGGTGCAGAAGGAGGTCACGGGACAGACCCAGGTGGTGACATGGGTTGACTGCTGTGCCAGGCTAGGTGCAGGAGGAGGTCACGGGACAGACCCAGGTGGTGCCATGGGTTGACTGACTTCAGGACGCCCGGCAGATGCACCGCACACGGACGGACACACACACACACAAGACACACACACACAAGACACACGGACACACACACACACAAGACACACACACACAAGACACACGGACGGCACGGACACACACACACACAAGACACACGGACACACACACACACAAGACACACGGACACACACACACACAAGACACACACACACAAGACACACGGACACACACACACACAAGACACACGGACGGACACACACACACACAAGACACACGGACACACACACACACACAAGACACACACACACACAAGACACACACACACACAAGACACACACACACAAGACACACACACACACAAGACACACACGCACACACACACACAAGACACGCACACACACACACACAAGACACACACACACAAGACACACACACACACAAGACACACACACACAAGACACACACACAAGACACACGGACACACACACACACACACGGGCGCCGCCAACCCTCGCCGCACGCAAGTCGGGGAGAGGGGACGGCACGAGGGGCACGTGTGAGGACGACGCAAGCGAAGCGTCGCGCACACGACGGGGTCAACCCGCGCCCGAGCGAGCGAGCAAGCGGGCGAGCGAGCGGGCGAGCGGGCAGACGGGAGGGGGGGGGGGGGGCAACCAGGGCGATGGTTGAAATGAAGCCAGTGGCCACGAACGAATTCTCCAGATTATCACTTTTTGTTTCTTTCTGTTCACAGCTCTGGTAGAAATCCAGCGGGTGGAAAGTCCACATTGCTGCGGTGGGTGGGCACCCAGAGGCTAGGCGAGCGATACTACGGGGGTGGAGACTCATACCCAGCGTCCGTCCGGGGTGGACAATTTGACGATTCGGTCTACGCGGGTCTCTCTCGCTCTCTCTCTCGCTCTCTCCAGCTCTCTCTTGTCATCGTCATCATCGTCGTCATCGTCGTCATCATCATCACCGTCGTCACTGTCATCACTTGTCATCGTCATCACCATCATCGTTCTCTCTCGTTCTCTCTCTCGCTCACTCTCTCACTCTGCCGCTCACTCTCTCTCCCGCTCTCTCTCTCCCACCGGGGGCCTGCGTGCCTCTACGCGAGAGACACGGTATGGCTACACGACAGCGGGGAGATTTCTTTCTGCCCTGGGGCCGCTCCTAGCAGCAGGCAGCTGCTTCCCGCCCGCCCGCCCGCCCGCCCGGCCAGGTCCGGGCCCTGCTCAACTCGCAAGACTCCGGCGAGAGATCCGCTCAAAAAGGATTTTGGGTCGAATTATCAAAACAACAGAGGCGATTGCGATCGCTTCCGTTTGCCTCACAGTTATTGTTTAGCGACGCCGATCGTGAACGGCGGGTGGGCTGGGTATGAAGGGGGGTGAGGCGCGGGTTGGGGGTTGCCGAGGGGGTCAGGGGGTGGGGGTCACGTGCACAGTGGCCTCGAGGTTAGTGACAAACCAAGGTGTGATCACGACGACCACGTGGGAGGGGGGGGGGGGGCGATGGGGAGGTCGCGATGCGGGGCGCTCCGTCGTCGTCACGTTCGTCGTCGTCGTCACGTTCTCGTCATCGCCGTCGTCATCACCGTCACTGTCAACACGTGTCAACGTCATCGTCGTCGTCATCGTCGTCGTCGTCATCACCGTCGTCACTATCAACACTTGTCAACGTCATCGTCGTCATCGTCGTCGTCGTCGTCATCACCGTCGTCACTACCAACACTTGTCAACGTCATCGTCGTCATCGTCGTCATCGTCGTCGTCATCACCGTCGTCACTATCAACACTTGTCAACGTCATCGTCGTCCGTCACTATCAACACTTGTCAACGTCATCGTCGTCGGTCATCGTCGTCATCACTATCAACACTTGTCAACGTCATCGTCGTCGTCATCGTCGTCGTCGTCATCACCGTCGTCACTACCAACACTTGTCAACGTCATCGTCGTCATCGTCGTCGTCGTCGTCATCACCGTCGTCACTACCAACACTTGTCAACGTCATCGTCATCGTCGTCATCGTCGTCGTCGTCATCACCGTCGTCACTATCAACACTTGTCAACGTCATCGTCGTCGTCATCGTCGTCATCGTCGTCGTCGTCATCACCGTCGTCGTCGTCATCACCGTCGTCACTATCAACACTTGTCAACGTCATCGTCGTCGTCATCGTCGTCGTCATCGTCGTCGTCGTCATCACCGTCGTCACTACCAACACTTGTCAACGTCATCGTCGTCGTCATCGTCGTCATCATCGTCGTCGTCATCACCGTCGTCACTATCAACACTTGTCAACGTCATCGTCGTCATCGTCGTCGTCGTCGTCATCACCGTCGTCACTACCAACACTTGTCAACGTCATCGTCGTCGTCATCGTCGTCATCGTCGTCGTCGTCATCACCGTCGTCGTCGTCATCACCGTCGTCACTATCAACACTTGTCAACGTCATCGTCGTCGTCATCGTCGTCATCACCGTCGTCACTACCAACACTTGTCAACGTCATCGTCGTCGTCATCGTCGTCATCACCGTCGTCACTATCAACACTTGTCAACGTCATCGTCGTCATCACTGTCACTATCAACACTTGTCAACGTCATCGTCATCGTCGTCGTCATCACCGTCGTCACTATCAACACGTGTCAACGTCATCGTCGTCATCGTCGTCGTCATCACTGCCGTCACTACCAACACTTGTCAACGTCATCGTCGTCATCGTCATCACCGTCGTCACTATCAACACGTGTCATCCTCGTCATCGTCATCACTGTCGTCATCGTCATCACTATCAACATTTGTCATCGTCATCATCGTCGTCATCGTCGTCACCGTCGTCACCATCGTCACCGTCATCACTGTCATCATCGTCGTCATCGTCATCATTATCAACACTTGTCACCGTCGTCACCATCGTCACCATCGTCACTGTCATCACTTGTCATCGTCGTCACCGTCGTCACCGTCATCATTATCAACACTTGTCATCGTCGTCACCGTCGTCACCGTCCCAAGGCTCTCGTCCCCGCATGGCGGCGCTCCGTGAGCTCACTCCGAGCCCCCGAGACGGAGCGAGCGGCTCGTGGGGGGCTCTGGGAGCGAACTCGGGCGGTGTGTGGGGGGGGGGGGGGGGGGGCGCGAGGGTGTGGGGGGCGATTTCTCCAAGATTTAAATTTCTCCCAAATACTCCACCGCCTCTCCCGCTCCCTTTCCTCTTCGCCGTAAAATTTAGAATTTTTTTTATTACCGGATTCCTCCTCGTAATTTCGGTGACCCCCGTCTCCAGCGGAAAGGGGGGGGGGGGTAGTGGTGGGGGGAGGTGGTGGGGGGAAGGTGGGTGGGGGGGGTCAGTGTCCCGGTCTCCGGGACTTGTCGCCCTGGGTTCACGGAAACGATCAACCACCAGGTGGCTCGCGACCTCAATTTCAACCTCGTCGGCCTCCAACTCCCCGCCTCCTCCTCACCGCCCCCCACCAATCGCCACCACCACCGCCACCACCACCACCACCACCGCCACCACCGCCGCCACCGCCACCGCCACGTGACCTCTCCATCGAACCCGCCATCGCACGACCACATCAACGCCGCCGCCGCCACCGCCTGCCACCGCGGTGTGGGAAATGAAATTACCGTCACGACTGAAGTGACGTTAGCCGCCATCCCACGTCTCCTCGCACGCGGTTAAATTCCTGGTGCGGTTTTTGGTTTTTGTTGTTTCACCCCCAACCCTCCCGAGCACCCTCCCACCCCCACCGCCAGCCCCCGTCATTCAGATTTCACCGGATTGGTGCCACGTGTAGGGCGGTATTGGGAGGTGCGACCGCGTGACTGGTACAAGTGAAATGTGGCTTCAGTGGGTGGGCGAGATTAGTTTGGATTCTGTCGTCTGGAACTCCTTGCCCCCCATACACGTAAACTTTAGAAGCAATCATGACGAACAAGGGTCACTAACCCTGACCTTAACCTAACCCTGACCTTAACCTAACCCTGACCCTAACCCTGACCTTAACTTAACCCTGACCATACCCTGACCCTGACCCTACCCTGACCCTAACTTAACCCTGACCATACCCTGACCCTGACCCTACCCTGATCCTAAGCCAACCCTGACCCTAACCCAACCCTGATCCTAACCCAACCCTGACTTTAAACTAACCCTGACCTAAACCTTGCCTAATCCTACCCCTTGGGTATAAAACCTATTCTTATTTTTTCATACTCTGATACTGCCAAAAAAAAGCTCCCATCTTGTAGCTGCTCACCCCGAGCTCTGAATTCCCTGGACATTATTTTATTTTATTATTTCCCTTCTACGTGACTTTACCGAAAGAACCAAGAAGAAGTGGCATTGCCCTTGTACTGGTCGCCAGTTTGGCGTTCTCTGCTCTGACACTGGTGGTGAGACCAGGCCACGAAGAGAAGGCCGCTGTCTCTGTCTGCACGTTTGTCACAGGCACTGTGTGTGTGCGTGTGGTTTACACAGCACGTGATGCCTTGCAAGAGGCATCCATGCGGGTGTGTGAACACCTTAACACACCTCCTGGTTTATGTTTTCTTATTATTATTGCCAGGAAAGGGGTAAATACCGACGATTAGTTTTCCTACTCACCCAAAAACGGCGTTTTATTTATTTATTTAAAAACCGAGTGGCACGTCACGACCGGACCCTGACCCTCGACCCCTAACCCCGACCTCTGACCTATCAACCCTAAGCCGTGTTCCTTGCCAGATTGGTTACCCGCCCCCCCCCCCCCCCCCCCCCAGAATAACAACAAACTTATCCCTCCTTGAACCCTGATTCTCGGGACTTAATCTTGAACCCTATAATGCCCTTCAACCCCTGACCCCTCGCCACGACCAGGTCACCACCACCACCAGCACCCCCCCCCCTAGTGTAACAAATTCCACGCGGCCGCTGAGCGTGGGGAGAGGGGGCAAAGGTCCCCGCCGTTTCGACGACGCGGGAGGGCGGCTGCCCGTCAGCTTCTTAACAAGAGCAAAAGAAAAAAGGCCGAGAGGTGAAAGGTCAAAGTACCGGGTCAAAGGTTGCCTGGAGCGGTCGCTTCAGTGATTGGGCAGTCGGCTAGCCAGCCAGCGAGCACATGACGGCAACGGGCCAATGGGAAGCGAGCGTTGAGAAGTGGGGGGGGGGATGGAGGGAGGGTAGAGGGGAGGGGAGGTGGAGGTGGTGAGGGGAGGGGGGAGGAGAGGTGGGGGGAGGGGATGGGGGGAGGGGGGAGGGAGTGGGGGAGGGGGGGAGGGAGTGGGGGGAGGGGGGGAGGGGACGGGGGAGGGAGTGGGGGGAGGGGACGGGGGGAGGGGGGAGGGGGGTGGGGGGAGGGGGGGAGGGGATGGGGGGGAGGGGGGGGAGGGAGTGGGGGGAGGGGACGGGGGGAGGGGGGGAGTGGGCAAAGCACAGGGAACAAAAACCAGCAAGCAGAGGTGCGTTGTGCGACACCCAGCAGTGCATTGTGGGTAGATACAGGGGGGGAAAAACAAAAATAGAAAATGAAAAATAATTATTGGATTAGATGCGTTTAAAGAATAATAATAAAACTCTAATTTGTACAGCCTGCTATCGGGAATAAAGCAAGTACAAAAAAACGTCTTCATGCAGTGATAATAATTAGAATAAACAACATCATTTTGTGACTTGTACAGCAATACCCCTTTTCCACTGCCACATCCGTGCCAGGCCAGCACGGTGCCTTCATGGCACGGGTGGCGTTCTACTGAGCACGTTTAGCCAAACCGCGCTACGCTGGTCTCACGGGAAGACGTCTCTACCTGTTTCTGGGGCCAAGCAGGGCCAGGAAGCGGGGCTAACGACACGTTATTCACGTGCGTGTGTGACACGTTGGTCGGCACGGCTCGCTACTGCAGTGGAAAAAAAAACAACTGGGGCAGGCTCGGCACGGTTCGGAGGCGCAGTGGAAAAGAGGTATCGGGACTCTGAGCTCAGATCTACACGAAGCATCACAGCCCTCGCGGACAGACCAGCTCCCAAGGCGACACAATCAAACGCAGCTCTCCACGCTCACACACACACGCACGCTCGCACGCTCGCACGCATGCACGCAAGCAAGCAAGCGGGAGAAGACGCGACCCAAAAACCATCGTCGCACGCAATCTCTCTCTTCACTGGGGGCAGCTTCCTTAGAAGGGATTTTTCAACGGGTTTTACTTAACCTGATCCCTCTGTTTGTCGTGGGTCAAATCTTGTCATCAAAATGTCGCCCACTTCCCGTTGTCCAATCAATTCCACATTTTCGCACACGTGCTCAGATCGGGTGACAACGCATGCCTCTGTATCAATTAATAAATTAATTCGCTGCTTTAAAGCAATTGACATTTCTGTATGGACGCCTTATTATTGATAGATTTGTGGAGGTCAAAAACGCCGCGTGTCCCAGGCGCCATTGACGTCCTCCTCGACCGCGAGTTAAACTAAGTTGATCATAAAACCGTTGTTTTTAAAACAACTTTTTGAAAGTTTTTTTTGTCGTGCGTTTAGATTTGTTGTCGTTCTCTCCCCCCCCCCCCCCCCGCCGCCCGCCACCCCCCTCCTCATACCTCCCGACGACCCACGGTTGGCTACGTCCGGCACGCCAAGGAAGCTCAACTTGTACCAGAGGTCGCAACCGGGTACCCGATACCTGTACCCGATACCCGGCTACCCGGCCCGGTACGGGTACCCGTTTGTGACCCTGGTGCGGCCGGGTACGGGTAGGCCGTGAGTCACTGGTGAGTAACCGTTTGTCACTCATTTCGCGTAGGGTACGGGTAGGGAACGGGTACCCGTACCCGGCCGGGTACGGGTACCCATTTGCGACCCTGGTGCGGCCAGGTACGGGTAAGGAATCAAAACCCGTTTGCGACCTCTGACTTGTACTCGCACGCGTACAAAGCGACCGTGAGGACGCCACGCGCACCGTTCATATTTCGCCCTCGCTCGCGCGGCAGCAGCAATCGTCGCTACCGCTACTGTCAGCGGACTAACGCGTAGAGACAGCTGCCACTGGGGGTGCCCATAGGCTAGGTCACACAGCGACAGTAATCGTCGCTACCGCTACTGTCAGCGGACTAACGCGTAGAGACAGCTGCCACTGGGGGTGCCCATAGGCTAGGTCACACAGCGACAGTAATCGTCGCTACCGCTACTGTCAGCGGACTAACGCGTAGAGACAGCTGCCACTGGGGGTGCCCATAGGCTAGGTCACACAGCGGCGGCAGCAATCGTCGCTACCGCTACTGGTAGCGGACTAACGCGTAGAGACAGCTGCCACTGGGGGTGCCCATAGGCTAGGTCACACAGCGGCAATAATCGTCGCTACCGCTACTGGTAGAGGACTAACGCGTAGAGACAGCTGCCACTGGGGGTGCCCATAGGCTAGGTCACACAGCGGCAGCAGCAATCGTCGCTACCGCTACTGGTAGCGGACTAACGCGCAGAGACAGCTGCCACTGGGGGTGCCCATAGGCTAGGTCACACAGCGGCAGCAGCAATCGTCGCTACCGCTACTGGTAGAGGACTAACGCGTAGAGACAGCTGCCACTGGGGGTGCCCATAGGCTAGGCCCCAGACAAGAATGTGGGGGGCTGCGTGTTCAGTTCTTTAGAGTTGGTGGTCTAGGCAAGGCCGGAACGAACGAACGAGCGGCGAGCCGGCTCGCGTTTTTTGTCATTGGGTCGCGCCTTCCCGAAACAAAGCCGACAGCAACAATAGCAGCAACAACCACCACAACCATCTCAACCACCACCACCACCACAACCACCACAATCACCACGACCACCACCACCACCACCTCAACCACGTCAACCACCACGGCCATCACAACCACCACTACCACCACCACAATCACCACAACCACCACGGCTATCACAACCACCACCACAACCACCTCAACCACCACAGCCATCACAACCACCACTACAACCACCACAATCACCACAACCACCACGGCCATCACAACCACCACCACAACCACCACCACCACAACCACTACGGCCAACACAACCACCACCACGGCTATCACAACCACCACAACCACCACAATCACCACTGCCATCACAACCATCACTACCACCACCACAACCACCACAACCACTACGGCGATCACAACCACCACCACAACCACCACCACCACGGCGATCACAACCACCACCACAACCACTACGGCCAACACAACCACCACGGCCATCACACACACCACCACAACCACCATGGCCACCACAACCACCACCACAATTACCACCACGACCAACACAACCACCACCACGGCCACCACCACAACCACCGCGGCCACCCCAACCATCATGGCCACCACAACCACCACCACAACCACCACGGCCACCACAACCACCACCACAACCACCACCACAACCACCACCACCACCACCGCGGCCACCATCACCACCACGGCCAACACAACCACCACCACAACCACCACGGCCACCCCAACCACCACCAACACACACCCTTCCCCCCAGCCAAGTGAATAGTTTGTTCCAGATGAACTGTGGGCAACGCAGTTGACTCTCGATCACCCGCGCTGATGGCGGGCAAGACGGCCGGAGATCATCCCAAAACATTCATTTTCCACGGATCCCTATGCCAAAGAAAACGAACGATCGGCCGGTGGACGATCGATGGATGATGCACGCGCGTGCTCCGTTGTAACACTTTCCTGGCTCCCGCAGAGCATGAGACTGAGCCCCGCTAAGTGGATGACTGCGGAGCCGTGCCAATCAACATCAACCAAACCCCGCGGCCAGCTTTTTGCCGAGGCATGGCAACTGCCGTCGTGTTGGAGGTGATCACGAGGATTTCGGGCGGACCGGAGCGAAATGTTCGCTCGGGGGTTGAGCGTCGTGTGACTTGCAAAAATAAACATTTCCAAAAATAGCGGTGCAGAACTGCTTTAAAGATCATCAATTTGGGCTTAAAGGGAAAATCCACGGGTTATTAATTTTGGTGTCAACATCATCTCCGTTGCGCAGCGGTTAATCCGCAAATCAGATAAACCTGCACGCGGATAACTCAGAGTCTACCGTACCCGGCCGGGTATGGGTACGGGTAGGGTAGGGTACGGCCGGGTACGGGTAGCCGTTTGCGACCCTGGTGCGGCCGGGTACGGGTACGGGTAGGCCGTGAGTCACTGGTGAGTCACCGTTTGTCACTCATTTCCCAACGTCTTGTCTCTTCTCACAATTCAAGTTCCTAGAATCAACCCACCCGCGCCTGCAACATGGCTTCATCCCAGAGGTCGCAATCGGGTACCCGATACCCGTACCCGGCCGGGTACGGGTGTAGGGTACGGGTACGGCCGGGTACAGGTACGGGTACCCGTTTGCGACCCTGGTGCGGCCGGGTACGTGCACGGGTAAGGAATCAAAACCCGTTTGCGACCTCTGGTGCCCGCTGCGAGGCACAAGCGTCACCAGATGGGGAGCCGTCGGCTGCTCTCTCAATGTTCGCTCGGCCGTTGAGAAGCAAAGTCGGGGGGGGGGGGTCATGGTAAATCAGTGGGGTATCTGCACGTGGATCACACTGCACACATGCGACCCTGGTGCGGTCGGGTACGGGTAAGGAATCAAAACCCGTTTTCGACCTCTGGCCAGGGGTCTAGAGATTAGTCGGCGGGAGAAACGTGCCCAAGTTTGCACAGCAGAGGGCGATGACGCTGCTGTTGCTGTGAATGATTCCTGACTAAAAAATTAACCCGTAAAAACAAAGTTTTTCACTATAAATCCTTTATATGCATGGCATCGGTTTTATTTTATTATTCATTTCTGTTTTTCTTGGGTAAGAGTTTCATTTTTATCACATTGGTATTTGAAATTAAATATGAAATTAGTTTTTTCCTAAAAAGTGGAAAATTTTGGAAAAAAATTTTTACGAAAATAAATTGTCACGCTAACAACGAGTCTGTGTGCAAAATGTCAGCTCGATTGGATCACGGGAAGTGGGTTAAAAAACGACCGAAAGATGTGCACGGTCGTAAGTGCGCAAGCAAGCAAGTGAACTTAATATAAAGGATTTAAAAAGAGTGAATTGTTCAGCGTTGGGAGAGGTGGAGGGGG